CATCTAACTTGAATTTTACAAATAATATCCACATAATTTCACCACCACTTTGAACAATAGACCTAAGATATCTAAAACGTGTACTCTTTTTAATGACTTGATCGCCCAAAATCGCAATCCCCTCACCAAATCTATTACTATTAAAATTACACTTCATTTATTCAGTTTTAGATCTACTCAAACGAAAATCTTTAGAATCTAAGATTGGCATTCATAATTTAAGTTTACCATTAGCTCCCTCTCTAGTTTTATCAACAAGAAGAATATCATTATTAAAAAACATACACTAGGGTGCATTCTCTTGCAGATGTCTAGTAAGAACATCTAAGACTAGAATACAAAGATATAAGTTAAACCTAATCCTTGACGTAATCCAATAGAAATAAGAATATACTTGGTCAAACCACCTCGTGTTTGAACACAAGTAACAACTCATGTATACATATACTTAATAAATTGAATATAAGTATTATTAACTCCTTGCTTTTCTAGAGCTCTCTAGAGTGCTTCTCTTGGAACTTTATCACATGCTTATCTCTTGGAACTTTAAATGCCATTTATTATTTAAGAATAGTTTGGTATTATAACATTTATTTTAGGGGTATTTTTGGCATTTTCAATAAGGGATTGTTTATGGATTGTCTCGTCATTTGCAAAAACAAAAAAATAAAAATATCAAACAAGTCCTAAATAATAAATGGCATTTAAGCCACTAAAAATAATTCGAATACAAAAAAAGATGAGCACAAAATGGATTAAATGATACTTAAAACATAGATTCATAACTAAGGACTAAGGTGAATTTACTCGGGATCAGGATGTGCAGATTTTCTAAAAAGGAAGAATCCTATAAGGAAAAGAGAATTTACATTTCCATTTCCTGAAATTAACGAAGAGGGAGAGAGAGAAAACAAGTATAACCTTTAAAGTTAACAAGAAATTAAACCATGGATAGCAAGCTTGAACGCCAAGTAGAATAAGATGCTTTTAACGGGACTTTGTTGAAAGTTTTAAAAGTCTACATTGGAGAGAATGAATTGAAAACAGTACCATCCCGAAGTAGCTGCTCTGACAACTGTTCACCAAACACTCCGTCAGAAACAGGGTTAGATGATATTATAGTCTTAATTGATTCTTCATTTCCAAACATGCGTGCAATTAAAATTATCATGTCCCTTGTCAAAGAAATCTCTGCTACACTCTTCGAAGAAACTGAACTACTCCCAACAATGCAAGTTTCAAGGTCACCAAGAATACTCCTACTATTATTTGGAAAATCAAGAAGTATTTCTTGAATACTTCTGCACAAGTCATCTACCTCGAGTGTACCAACATCAGTGGGTTTTACCTGAAAAATGAAAATGATAATTACATACTTGAATGGATGACATCATAAAAAGCTACAACAAACCTCTAGCTCAAGGTGATTTCCATAGCGCGATTTTAGATGCTGTGGACTCCCAATGCATCGGAGTTTTCCATCAACCTTCAAATTAAGTATGAAAAAGTTTACTTAACAATATTAGTAAATCAATATCGTTTTCAAAATTACCGAAAGAAAATTCTTTTATAAACGTGTACCATGATTCCTATCCTTGTGCAGAGCGCCTGAGCCTCATTCATGCTATGCGTTGTGAGTATGACGGCTGTCTTTCCCCGTCTGGTTGATAAATTAGATATGACATCCCACAAAAACCTCTTAGCTATAGGATCCATGCCTGCCAAGAGGGATTCAATGATAAACACAAATGCACATTATTTTCCACATGTCTATGTAATAACTATCAAAGCAAATGATACTATCTATAATTATAGTTTAAGGCAAATGAATGTTTGATAAAACATTACCTAGAGGTTTTACCATCATAGGGGACCTTATGATCTTGTTTGCTTGGCGAAAGAATCTAGTGGTTGCATCATCTAAGGGAACCTTATAAACCTGGGCTAAAGACTTGCATAAGGTGCCAATATTAAACCGACCTTGACTAGCAGAGGAATTCATACCTCATTTAGTGCACCTTATGTCTTACAACTGATTAACTTAGTTATTGAGAAGTATTTAGGCTTAGGACATAATTACCTGGTTATGAAGTATGTTAAAATATCCTTATTAACCAAAGATCTTTCAGTGTGATTTTGTGGATACATTTGAAATGATAATGAGACCTTGTGAGCTTTAGTTGAACTTAAATTATCCATGCTAAGCTAATGTTGAGGACGTATGTATGGTAACTCTGAGCGTAAGCAACATATTCTTGATTGAATTTTTTGCTTATATAATTTTTTTTTTTTGTATTTGGTTAGAGGTTGTTAAGGACCATACTCTAGTTAGTTTGTTATGATTTTTTCTTGAATCACCATTGAGTATTACTCAAAATATTTGGTTTTTTAGTCATGAGCTTGATTTGGGTAATGAAACCAAACAGATACAACATTCTGATAACTAAAACCATCATCGGATAGCAATTTAACAAATTTGAAATTAATATCAAATCATTTAACACCATGACACAAAATAACTGAGAATTGAACATAAGTATTAATGACACAAGGAGGATATGGACGCATCTTGTTGGAGAAGATGTGCAACAAGCTTGGATGACGCATCAACTGTAGGCAAGCTGAAAAGGAGAAGATGCACCACGTTCAACTAGTAGATCAGTGTGCTGGAGAAAGTGCCATAAGGTTTAAGATGAAGTGCTCACAAATCGTGTTCACTGATGCATTAATCCATATGAGTTGAGAAGGAGAAGATGTATTTATCTATGAAGGCTCTCATTCTCAATATACTCTTAACGAAGCACTAACATAGATGCAAACATCACAACGTTGGGCAAGTGGATAATAAAAATTGAAAGCGATGGAAGTATAAAATGATATGAGAAAAATATAAAGAAGCAAGCAGAATGAAACACATCCAAATAAGTAAATATATCATAAGTTAACATTAAATTAATAATGCCACAAGCCGTATTTAAAAAAAAAATAATTGAAAAGTATACAAGCAAACCATTCAACCCCTAATATAAAGCCTTTCACAAGTTATTTGTAAAACAACAAATAAATTATTATGAATACAAATTAATAAGTTGACTTCTATGGGCTTAGTTAATTTAATCATTGAGTTTTTAAAAATATTCAAACTTCTTTGATAACTAACCTGAACGAGTACTAATTGAATCAAGTTCATGTTGTTTATCGTCTACTTAAATGGGCGAGACATCTCAAATTGAGCATATGATCTTTAGATCTAAGATAAATTTATCTTTCAATATCATCGAATAATCATGATAGCAACACATAATTTGAGACAAACATTTGCTCTTATCTTTACATGAAGATTATTATGTCAAAAGCCTTAATGAATATGCAATTCACTAGCAATGAATCGGGCTCGTATCTAACACTTATAACATGAAATTTGAACACCCAATGAACAAGACTTATAATCATCCTACCTTATAGAGAGGGCAGCCCACGGGGATTTCTTGATGAATGAATTTTCATCATAAAGCTTTTAATTTTATTTTCGTAACTATTAGTAGTGAGCCGTATCAACTTTACCATTTATTTGCAGAGAATTTTGTTTAAAGATTAGGATTTATGATCATATCTATAAGACAAGGTGATACGGACATCCAACCGTCCATGCCTATCCGAGGAGCTGAAGATCGATAGCTGTCATCGTCCCACATTATCTTATATTTCATTTGTAATTTTATTTTTTTTATTATAAATTTTCCGTTTTTACCCTCACTTAAGAGGGTCGTCCTATGTAAGCCATAGGGGCATATGTGCCTTCCCCGCCGTCCCCTAGCACCACCAAAACTAGCGGCCCCTTTCCCCCATAGCTCCCAAAATCTGAATTCAATTTCATCATAAAATCTTTCCTAATTTAGCCCATCAATTTAGGTGGAGATTTAAAATTCAAAAGTCAAAGATTTGAATTTAAATCCTCTCTTAAATGATCCCCCTCTAATTTAGGAGAGGTTCTCAATCAACATAAATCTGAAATTAATTTTCAGATTTATGTCCCCAATCACCTTAATTGCTTGGGCCCACCTCCTTAATGCCTAACCCCTCTCTCTCTCCTTTGTCATTAAATGCTCTCAATTAAGACTCCTTAATCACCTCCCTCTTGCCCCCATTCCATTATGATGATTTCAATTATCATAACTCCCTTCCTAAATTAACTCCAAGAGAAAAGGAAAGTAATTACCTCAATATGAATTTTGAAATTCAAATTTCAAAAACTTTTCTTATTTGCAAATCTTAATTAGGAAAGTGCATAAATTCAAGTCTATTTGAAATTCAAATTAAATTGGATTTCATGATAGCTTTCCTAATTCCCATGAATTATTTTGGAAGCTCTTAAATCCCTCCACAAAATCCTCCTCCCTCTCTTAATGCCGCCGACCCCATGATTGGGCTCCACCTTGGATTTCCCTCTTAAGCCCAACTCCCATTTGAATTTGAAATCAAATTCAAATTCTTTCTCTCTCCACTTTCCACCTAAGCATCAATTAATCCCTCCCTCCTGCCTTGGACCCGCCGCCCGCTTCCCCTATCTCTTCCCTTCCTCCACGGAACATCCATTTGTCAAAAGGTTCAGTTTTTCCCCGCTGTCCCAGAATTCCAGCCAAGGAAAATCTGGATTCCGGCCGCCTAAAATCTCCAAACTACGGGCTGCTCTCTCACAACCTGTTGTCCAACTATTTAGGCCCAAACCCTTGCTGTCCTGAGGAGTTTCCAAAATAAAAAACTGATGTCCAAGGAAACTGGACTGCTGTCTGCTGATTTCTGCAGGCTTCCCAACACCGTATCTTTCATCCGGAAGACTCCAACTGCTGTCCACTTCTTCCCCAACACCAAAGTGACTACGCCGGAGCTCCGTATTTGTCTTTCCCTTTGGAATATTAAGCGTGCAAAATTCCTTTAAGCAACTCATCCATGCAATTATGTTTTACATCACAAGGTGACGTAAAAGTGCAAAAGCTATAGCCATTATATAACTTGTTTAAAAGTGTTGAATAGTTTTGGCAAGATGAATAATACGCCTAGGCACTTCTTATACTCCATATGACATTTCAATATGTGTTTTAACTACGTTAGCATTGTTAAGCATTTCTTAATTGTTAAAATTGTTATTACTAATTTTTATACATTGATTTTATATTTCATTGAGCTTAGCTCATCAACAGTGGTTGTACTGCAGGTAAGGGAAATGAGCCCGTAGGGCAATAGGCAGGAGAGAGGTGACCGTTCCTTTTGTTGTACAAAGAGATTTTAAAGGAGATCTAAATAATAGCTGTATAGACTTTTGGGTATGTAAGCAAATTTTAAAAGTTTTAGTATAGCTCTGTATTTACTTTAATTATATTTGATGTTCATTAAGGGACATTACATGCTTCCCATTATTAATTATGGAATTTGATAGGTTGGCAAGTTAGGAGAGTCTATACAGATTTCTTTTTACTCAGTCTATTCTGAAAGTAGTGGCTCGGCATGGGTGTTAGTAAGAAGGAATCGGTTTAGATTTTCCTTCTCTGTTATACTCTAGATTGACTGTTAGGGGTAGGCCAAACTGGGGTGTGACACCTATAGACTAATTTGAATACATGTAAGAAAAAAATGATCAGATGTTTGAGCCCAAGGATGGGTTTACACGTTTTCTAAAGTGAATCATGCTTTAAAAGTTAACTCCGATTTTATTTAAAAAATTTGTGCAAAAATTTTGAAGCCATTATGATTTTAATTTTTGATATTCTAATTTCTAACTGGCACCGACAAGTTCATTGAATTGTAGATATGATTTTACTTGTGGTGAATTAACACACTTATTAGCAAAATTGTAGCCTAGATGCGTAGTGGTATGCATTTGTCCATGTATCCTAGGTTAATTTCAATATGATTTTGCCTTGAAAAGATGTGTCCTCCATTTAAAACTACTCAGTTTCAACTTTCTTTTCTGAATTTTGGATGACTCTATTTTTATAAGAATGAGCACGCAACTTTGTTATCATGCACATATAATAGGATTTTTGGTTACATATAACTTTTTTTCCGTGCACCTCTGAATACTTTTCAGTGAGTGCTTGTGGGTTCGTTTTACAATTTTATGTGTCACAATGTTCTTGCCTAAGCTAGTTGTAGGGGAATTTTACTCTATTCATTTTATTTTATTTTTTCCCTTCACTCATTTTAGAGCGATTTCATGAGTTTACTGTCTTATTTTTTTTTTTTAAATTTTCAGTCCCTTTTACTTGTCACCAAATAAAATTTTCACCAGCCAAAATTTGTACTCTTATTAAGAAAATCGAAATGGGCCTATTGACAATATAGAATATGAAAGGAGACACCCCCTGAAATGCTTTTTAATTTTTCCTTTTTTGTGAAAATGCTCAATTTTATAATAAAGAGATTTTAATATTACTTTTATATCTTATTTACATATTTGTATACGTTTTATAAAGAATGGTTTATTGAATTTTTAATATTTAAAATAAATATAGATGTATATTATTATCATTAATATAATTATTTTCATACATATACATAAATGTATTATTTATTATTGTTACTATATAGTTGTGCACATATGTGTCTTGAAAATATGTGGGTGCGAATTTCTTTGTAAATCTCCTTTCGTGCATTGTGTGTTTTTACCCCCTCCCAACTTCATGCGTAATAGAAGGCTTTGATGGCGGCGTTGACAGATCTCTTGAGGCTACCATACTGAGTCAATTGAATTGCATTGTGGCTCATTTCCACGCTGAATTTGGTGATGTATATTTCGAGATCAACATATCATTTTTATTCTAATTTGATTTTTAGACTAAGCCCTTACTAAGAAGAGCAGCTAGTTCAATCAGAAGAAAATTGTTTTTAGTAATTAATTGCACATACCTGTAGATGGCTCATCAAGGATCACAATTGGCGGGTCACCAATCATTGCAATAGCAACAGAGAGTTTTCTTTTGTTACCACCGCTTAAAGTACATGATGGCTTATCCGCATGGTTCCACAAATCGAACTCCACCAACTTTTCATTAACAACCTAAAAAAATGCCGAATGATAATCATAAATAAGGAATATGTATAATGAACAAAAAAGCACTGAGAGTCAAAAGTTAACAAGCGAACTTGTCCTCTTACATTATTTATTCTATTCTCGGGAACACACTTTATTTTTGCATAAAATTGAAGATGTTCACGGGCAGAGAGAAACTCAAAAAGAGCATCAAACTGTGGGCAGTAACCTATCTGGAAAAAATAAGGAAGATGAAACGCAGATTAAAGAGTGCCAAAAAAATAACAGAAACGACATTTATTTAAATAATTAAAAAAAAGGTTGATGGAGGAATTTTACATGCTGACGTGCAGATTTAGGATTTGACCTAATTTCGGATCCAAAAATAAAGGCAGTTCCATCTGTTGGACATTCTTCTCCTACAAAAAGAAGCAGAGAGACACTAGATAAATAACAAAGGCACCATCCATATGGCAGATTCTTCATTCTAGTAAGAAAATAGCAGAATATTGTCCGGACACTGAAAGTTAATCTGCCTGATCAAGTATATTAACAAAAAATTCACGAGGTCCAGCTGCAAATTATGGTAAATAACATTTTGAAGTAAGAAATCAAAGTCACTAATCTATCATGGAGCTAAACACTAGAATGCTTTATAAATGGCTATATAGAACCTTGGAAATAGATATTGAGGTGTGGATGGCACATTAGACATAAAGCTAATCCTAAATCAATTCAGATTCGGTTGACCGTGGCCCAGAAAATACTTTTCTATCTGATTTATCCCACAATTATTTAGGCTAACATGTTTTAATTAGAAAACCAAAATTTAACATCAGTTAAACTTGATTCATTCAGCTGATGGATGCATGCCCAATACCACAACGCAAATTGTATGTCCACTACAATCATTTCAGTCTTCAACTAGCCCCTAAATGGTTAGCCCAACCTCATTTGTTTACTCTTGCACCACGCTTCAATTCTTGTTTCCTGATAAAATTTTTAAGATCAGCTTTGTTAGTGAAACATTATAGATGATGCAGGACCGCTTCATGCACCAAATTATACCAAAATGCTGCACTGATGGAAAATGCAGAACCCAGACTAATGTATGCAACTGCAGGGATTTACACGAGATTAGGAAGTGAGAAGATGCATTAAAGTAAAACAGGGAACAACTACGAGGACAAGTCGTAAAGACTAACTGAGGGGGATAGGATAGGGAGGAAGGATCCATAGTTTTCGTAGCACAATGTGCTAGCAAAGCACAAAAGATTTGTTAATTTTTACTTTTTCTTTTTAGTGCAAAGGAAAATGTAAAGAAGTGCTTCGATTAACTACAGTGAATTCCATGAATATTTACATGTATTAATTATACCGTTAACAAAAGATAATAAAATCTATTCTATCAAACAAATTAAGTGCATATCATATCAAGCTATGCCATTAAGTCAAATTAGGTTGAATGATGGTACTATCAAGGTATAAATACTAAATAATGTAGATACCAAGTCTAAACTCTCAAACTATGGCGAAAAAACTTTGACAAGCAAATTTCTTGGTCTAGGCCATTCATTCTTAATAGTTCATTCAAAGCATATAACCTATAGACCAACAATTCTTATTCAGCTTCTAGAACCTTAGCGCTCACTTAGGAGAGGACAGAGCCCACTTGTGCACCTTGCATCTTGCTTGGTAATTCGTCAGGGATTTTGCCTAGTACTTCTAGGTTGACAAGTTTAGCACTGATTCCAGTCAGAAGAGTACTTCTCGTGTTCTATTTGGACTGCCTTTTCAAGAACAAAGACATTTTAAATGATTATTTTAAGATAATTATACTTATTATTCTTCGATTGATATAGCTA